CCTCTGAAACCATATGTATGCAGTTTATTCAGCAGTATTCTATGATTCACACAGTCGAAGGCCTTCGATAGATCACAGAATACTGCAGCAGCTACTTCACCATCATTCAACCTGAGGTACAGTCTTTCGAGAAATGCAAAAATTGCATCATTCGTATTCTTAGATGCTTGAAAGCCATACTGATCAGGACTTAAAATTTTATGTTTGCTTATAAGAGCCACCATTCTTTTTTTCACTAATTTCTCAATCACTTTCGATAATGCCGGTAGCAAAGCAATCGGTCTGAAGTTAGAAGGGGAATTGAGTTCGCCACCTTTAAATAATGGGATGATATTAGCAATTTTCAAGCAGGTAGGAAATACACCAGCCGAAAAAGAATGGTTAACTGAGTCAGCTAGTACTTGTAACATCTCATGAGGTAATTTGAGTAATATATTAGCTGATATGTCATCCCACCCAGATGTACTCTTATTTTTAATATCAACAATTATCTCTCTTATCTCAGTGGCATCTGTGGGAGCAAAATAAAAACTCTCAAGTATTGAAATATGTCTTAAATAAAAATTAGGGTCGAACGAGGGTGATAACTTTTCAACTAGTTTGTCCGCTATGGAACAGTAGAATTCGTTCATTGTGTCGGGATTCACATTCGTCTTGGGAGAAATATAGTATTATTTTTCCCTCTCAAATCATTGATGATTTTCCAGCATTCTCTCTGCTTGTTGGACGAGCAATTAATTCTAGAATTATAATATAGAGATTTAGCAGTCTTGATTAATTTTCTATAGATGTTTCTGTATTCATTGTAATAATCAATGAATGAGGTGCCATTCATTGAAAATTTCCGTATACTGTGAAGTGAGCGCAGATTCTTGCCGGAAATTCTCAATCCTTTTGTGATCCATACTTTTTGCTTTTTACACCTGATTTTCTTAATAGGAAAGGAGCGATTGAATAAACCAGTTAGTACTCTATGGAATTCATCGAGTGGGTCATTTCTGTTTGATATATCACGGCCATCTACAAGTTCACAAAGTTGTGAAAACTTATTATAATTCTGTTCCGAAAATATTCTACCCCATCTTTTAAATTCCTCTTTGGGCACCTTGATTTTGAATGGAAAGTTACAAACAACTGCTTCATGATCAGACAAACCAGCATTCAATACAGAGCAATCGACAAGATCTTTATCTAGGTTCGAACATATGAAGTCTATAGTGGTAGACGAATTAGAGCAGATTCGTGTGGGTGCATCGACATGCATCGATATATTGAATGAATCAAGTATATTGACAATCGTTTGTCTATAGGATAGTGATGAATCCAGGAAGTTAATATTGAAGTCACCACAAAGAATAACAGATGCACAGAACTTCATTTTATTATTCAAGATAAAATCCTGTATATTGCATATTCTCGAAGAAAAAAGAATTTTCCTCAAAAAGTCCCTAGTAACACACTGAAGTCCCATGGATATCCTTAGGACGTCCTGTTGGGACATTCAGGACGTCCATACCACGTTCGAATTTGGGACGCACAAAAGTCCCACTTGAGGACCAAGTAGGGACGTCCTTGAGGAATGTCCCTGGGACAACTATCGAATACCTAAATCCTACAGTATTCGTCATCAAGCACTACAGAGAACATCCTTAGGACATCCATAGGACAACCTATCAGCAACGCTGAGGGATATCAATTGGATGTCCATAGGATGTCCCAGAGATGTACGAATTATTCTTGAATTTGAATATTTCTGGGTATCTCTAGGACCAGATCTTGCATAACTGATTAGGACATCCAGTTGATTTGATGGTCCGTAGAAGGTCCCCAAAAAGTTTCCAAAGGATGTCCGATGAATTTACGTGAAGGATGTTGACGAGTACTTATAGCCTACGAGCAATCATTCGTCGGCGAGGTGTAAGTTAACGTCCTCGCAGGGACAACATATTGAAAGTACCGACTGGGACGTCCATAGGACGTTATTTCTAGGACATCGGAAGAGTACAGTTCATGTACCAATTGAGACATCCGACGGATATTCCTAAGGAACATTTCGCTCGTTATACGGTCCTGGAAATATCAAGGGCGTCTGGGCAGAGATATTCGAAGGAATGTACCATCAGGGACATTCCCCTAACAACACAGGGATGTTCTAGGTACGTCCCTTTTTTGTCCCGCGGTACAAGGACATGATTGGGGCATCCAGGGGATGTCGCGCAGTGGTTGTCCAGTGGACATCCCGCCCGGTACATCCCTAGGTTATCCCATTCGTGTCCCTGGAATATCTGATATCCATTCACATCAGAGTCATCGAATTTCATCAAAGTATTAAGTTGCATTTTTTGAAAATTTTTGTTTTTCTTCCAGAAAATAATCGTAATGAAAATAAAGAATAAATTTTCAGAACTTCTTCTTCCTTTGGACGTCCTAGGAATATCCTTCCTTCGTACTTGGTACATCCCAGAGACGTACCAGAAGGACATCCCTAGGATGCCTCTTTTTGTGGAAAGCGGATGTCCCTGGGACGTCCCTAGTATGTACCATGTCTCGACACAGGATATCCCAGGGACGTCCTCGTAGAAAATGGAGGACGTCCCTGGGACATCCCTGGGACATCCCTGGGACTTACTCGTGTTGTTAGGGTCCATGGTTGTCTAGAAGGCAATATACATTATATGAGATCTGAAGTCATGCCAGAATATGTACCACTCGGGACATCCGATAGATGTCCCTAAAGAAACGTTTGAAATCATATCTCATCATTAGGGACACGCCAAGGACTTCCTTTCATGGACATTCTACAACATGTACCACGTGGGACGTCTAAGGGATGCTATTTCTAGGACATTTGGAATGATGTACCAGCTGGGACATTTCGTGGACGTCCTGGCTCGGACATTGCATGAGATGTACGGGATGGGACGTCTCAAGGACACTTATTTTTGGTTTGGGACATTCGGACGTGAATTGTACCAAATAGGGACGTCTCTTGGACGTTGTGTGCTATCAGGGGTGCTACCAGATATTCATACAGAACAAGTTCAATTGATTTGTGATATAAAACTTAAATGGCAGTGGAAACAAAAGCAGAACGTTTCTCCATAATGAATGTTCAATATGACGCCCACCTCCAATAATACAAATATCAATTCGACGTAAACAATTTAAATTCACCCTCCTCAGGACATCATTGTTGTCTTGTAGTGCGTCAACAACCTAATGGATTTTCCACAGCTGTTCGCAAGTATCTATTCGAACTCCATACACTTGTGATCTTTACGCTCCCCAGATGGAAAGTCACACGAATTCAAATCTGGAGACCGCGGAGACCATTGGAAAGGTGCTTTTGTCAGGAAATTGTTCGTTCTGATATTGTCTTACTGCACGTGCAAAATAAAGTTGTGCACCGTCGTGCATGAAGAACATGTTTCGACGAACATTGAGGAGAAAGTTATCTAATAAATCTGGCAACATTTCTGAAGGATGTGAAGGTAAGTAGCATCATCAGAGCGATCTGTCAAAACGGATCGGCCCTACCAGAAATATTTCGATAAATCCGATCCAAACATTAATCTCAAATTCTCGTTGATAGTGTCTATAAAGCTTCAATGGCATGTAGGTTCTCATCAGCATATACATGCTTATTGTGCAGGTTCGTCATGCCACGTGTAAAACAAGACTCATCAGTAATAATAAAGATATTAGTGTGAAATCTGTTGTCCAGTGGTCTGCCCTCTCGAACAATTCGTGAAGAATTCAAACGTAATCCGTGGTCAAGTGGTAATAACTATTGCACAAACTGTATATGAAATGGATGAATTAATTGTTCTCTGGGGAGTGTCATCGATCATTTCACGAACAGCTTTTTCCGTATGAGGTCTTTGGTCTTGAATTCTTCCATAGCGTTGATTCTGACAAAAGGCAAAAGTTTTATTATTCCGGTTTGGATACCTCTCTCGGTATACGCGGGCACTTCAACGACAGTTACCTCTTGACAGAATCCAAGAACTAAAGTTATATTTGATAGAAGTTAAAATAGCAACAATTAAATAATGATAAATGGTCGCTAATGGTACTCACGGAAATGACAAAATTTGAGAATGTATTGAAACATTCACAGACAACGTCAACAACAAACTTGAATGTCAATGGATTTGTTTCATATCAAAATCATGACTTGGCTTCGTTCCCACTGCCAACTAAGTTTCTTATCACGATTTGGTTGAACTTGTACTAAGAATTTCTGGTAGCATTATTCGAGAAAAAAACTTTCTTCTTCGAAGCTCGTGGGTATACGAAATTTTCACACGAGTAATAAAATGGGGGAAATTGATTAGTGTTCAAGCTCAAAAAATTCCAGAACCGATTAATGACCCCCAAAAAAGTTCTGAAAAGAATGTCAGGGGGTGAGGGTAACCACTCTACAATTCCTTTCAGGTTTCTTCGAGTCATCCTCTGGAATACACTATAGCCAAATTTCTACAAATTCGTTCAACTCATTTCTGAACAGCGTACAAAAATGTGTTTTTTCATGTGTACTGTGACCCTTCTCACGTATACTAACAGTAGTCTTTGACACATAAATAAATTGGGACAATCAACTTATTTTGACCTCCTCTACACGTGGTAGCTCTGTGTCCCAGCAATTTTGGGACACCCTGTATCTTCCTCTCGGTGTATCACGAATTTGTAACCTATAAAAATACAGTCCACTGAGACGATCTATTGAATTGATGAAATAAAATAACATTATGTATACCTACCTATTGAATATTGCCGTAGGTATACGTATATTAGGAGCCGGAAGCGAATATATTATAAACACATGACAAGAGATATATGATTATTTTTTGTCCAATGACTCAATGAATAATATTGCTATCGAAATTCACTTAAGATGATAATTTATGTATAAGAGCATCAGGAACGGAATTATCATATCGAATTGTTGCGAATATATGGATGCGAAGCACAATTATATGAATATAAATATAACTCACCGAATTGAATAATGAACTATAATGCAGGTTTCTGGTTTACTCGTATAATGACATAAACTGCAACTGTAATGGGTGATGAAAACAAGAAAGCATTCATGTTAACGACAAGGTCGATCTCCTTTCAATATTTCCTGTTCACTCGATCAGGAACGATATTTTTCTAATACTCATGTTCAATTAATGCAAAAAGAGAAAGAGATAGTACACTGAGAAAAACTGGTTAATTAAAACGTCTAGTTGGTATTTTTTTAGTACCGGTAATTAAAAATATTTGGAATTTTATTAACAATGACAACGTATCCTCATTTTCTACAAATGACTCTTCTATTTTTCGCCAATTATTTGTCATCAATAAAAATACTATTCGTGACAGAATTATCACAGTGTTGTCTATTCAGTTAATTAAAATGTCATATTGGGGTTGAAAAACCTCATTCTGGGGTTACTAACAACAGCTGACTATTTGCCACAACTGATGACACATTTATCGTAAAAGGTTTATTATTATTCATAGCAGAAATTGTTTAGCCATAACTAATAATTTTAGTTGTACTGCGTCGTTCGGGACCGCCTCGCGTCTCGTCGGGACCCACCTGCAAAAATTGCATCTTGCATCTGTTTGTCTTTCTGTTTCATCATTTAAAATTGTATCTTGATAGTGGATAGATCGCACGGTCGTCGGGCTTAGACAAAATAAATAAAATATTTGTCTAGTGTTGCCGGGAGCGTCGTGTTCTTGCTGGTTCACTGCTCTGTGTGTTTTCAAATCACTGTTTTGTGTTTTTTTGCATTTCGCGCTGAGCCATTTGGCATTTGGTTGGCAAAATAATAATTCGCAGTTTACCATCGTTATCTGTGCGTCACTAGTTATCAGGTTTAGGTACCTATTCACAATTCAGTTCAGTTTATGACGGGCGACGGTGATAAACGTCCAACCGACGTCATGTGTACACGGTGTATATTTAGAATTCCCTCTCTTTTTGCTGAGCTGTGGCCTGTGGCACTTACGGTGTGTGGTGTATTCCTGTTCACGATTCCATTGAAAATTGGAAGGAAAATGGAATACAATCTGTTATTATTAGATTGGGGCCTTGATTTTAATTGATATAAAACTATTAAGTTGCCAGAATAACTAAATTATATTTCAAACGTTACTAAATCACTTTTAATAGTAACTAGATTCCATTTCAGTCACAATTAAATATTTAATTTGCAACAACACACTCACTATTAACGTCAGAAGAAATGAGTAATTGCCCCAACTGGGATAATTTGTTGTGATAACGAACATATATTGAAACAGTACTAACAATCTAATTGTCATAACTATGTATCTTGATTGTGGCAAATAAAACTTGGTATTATTCCTTAAAAAGGCTTATAAGTTACCACAACAACGTCGTAGATGACTCAACTAAACTTTTCATTAGAGGCAAATAGGCGTTTCCAGAAAAACAGAATTAGTTACGGCAACAACTAATGCTTGCTGTCCCCTATCGTACTGAAAAAATTTTCTGTAGTTACTAATTTTTTAGTAACGGCTACAAATTTTTTCCCTCAGTGTACGTTGAATAATGTTTTTATGAAAAATAACAGTCCGGCAATTTTTTTTGCTGAAATTAATGGAATTGCCAGGTCATTTGAATGATTGAATTCAACAGTTTTGTGATTATGGACAACAGGGGCGGATTTCAGGATAGGTACTAGGCACAGATGGATTGACAATCCCATGAGCCAACAATTTTATTCATTCATGGTAAAATGCTATCAAATCGAAAGTTAGGTTTCTCGACATCTACCCAGTGAGGTGAGGGGCATAATGATTATTATGGAATACATTCATTCAATCAGAGCGGGAGGAAATTATTATTTGTAAAATTTATGTTTTGTTTCCTGACAGTAGTAGTTGTAGTTTAATGTATGTCGTAATAGATAAGTTACATATGTCTTGTTTGAGTTGTTCTCAGGACATCCTTCTGTTGTTAGAGATCCTAATTCAAATTAATGTTTCATTCCTTTGTCGTTGTTATCGTGATATTGTTACCGGTACTCATGTCATCATCTTGCAGTACCATATTGAATTGTATTATAATAACAACATGAGTAATCAAAGCTGAAAAGATTGAAGCAATACAAGACTGATTCACTTCGAAGAACCCAGCTGCAGAAAATATTGGCCTCCAGCGCTCCTCGCATTCAGCGAGCAGCAAAAGTTCATTTTTGACTATTGGATTATCTACAGTTTCGTGTAGAATGTAGACGTTGCTTATCACTTCTTTGCCACTTTCTTCGACCGAGTCACAGCACATGATCAAAACAATGATTGGGACCTGAAACCGAACAAAGTATACATTAGATTCCTAACCACATCCTGAATACCAATCAATATCTCCAAGGAATTCAACACACTGTATCTTGACAAGAAATCGTTGCATGACACATAATTATCAAGCTTTGTTCCAAAAAATCAGGCACTGAAGATATTGGGAGAAATCAGTATTTTTTATAAAATTTTGACTTCTTTTGAATTTCGATTTTGTTCACCTAGGAAACGAAAAAAATCAATCATGTAACAAAATCATCCATTACTATTCCAAATGAATGGATAAGGGAGGCATTCTCTTCATAAACACCAAACTAGATTTCTGATTTGAAGATATGCATCAGGGCAAATAGAAAGAATAGCACATACAGCAAGAGCTCGACAACATCTAGAGCTACTTTTCCATGTTAATTTCTATCATGAAATTCAAAGTTGAAACTAGAATTTTTTTTTTCAAAGTCAACCCTTGTAGCGTCTGAATGTTTGAAAGACACACGTTCAAAATAAGCATCAAAAGTGTAGTGGAACCAAATTCTTCGACTGAAAATTGAAGAGAAGATGAGAGAAATAATAAGTAGAGAGTTTAATCTCTAGCCATCCGTGTGACATTCATGAGTATAGACGCCTCAATATAGAGAGGTGACTTTGAGAGAACAGCAATTTTTGATAATCTTTACCCAAATTATTTTGATGGGGATAAACTTGAGATAATTTGCCAATATGGTGTCGTGCTCCTGCTGTATATGAGAAAAGAACCAATTTTCGCTATTTTTGACCTGAAATTATTTTATGGAAATCAATATGTGAGAACTGCTTGAAATGGTACCGTGGTCTAGCTGTATAGGGTGGCTGGAATTTGACCCTCATCATTGGGATCTCGTGAACCGTGAGAGATACAGAGTCGATTGAATTATGGCAAAGTTGCGCAATTTCATGCCTAACAAAATGCCGTTCTGAAACTTGAAAAATTCCGAATAGTTTCGAAGATATCCGAAAAAAATCGAAATTCCATACCATCGCTTTCATTTTTTTCCTGGCGTTATTTGAAGAAATAATTCAATCTAAATAACACTTTATCAAGGCCACTTTTTCTTCCCTACAACATGGCGTTTTCAAATTTGAAATCTGACGTTTCGTCTTCCAGAAACCATCATCAACTTACTTTTTTTAAATACGGACCTGGATTTTTTATTTGATTTTTTGTTACTTTCGGATAGCCCAAAAACAATGAATTATAACAAATTTCGATTTTCAAATGCTTCAATGACTAAAATTCACAGTTTCTTTATTTTTTCCAAATATTCAATGCGATTACCGAAAATGGAAAAGGCGGCTTTGCTTTTAGAGATGAAAAGTTACAACCACTCTTCGAAATTTGACAGTTCGAGGATTTGAATAATTTGCGCGATCAAAAATGGTGTTTTCCAATTCAGAAAAACGTGATATGGTCCGAATTTATTATAGTGCTAATAGAAACTCGCAAATTTCATGTGTGAGATATTTACAGCAATACCCCTAACGACCACAACCGCATTATACGTCTTTCAATAATATGGACAAGAATTTGAATCTGTATGGTAGTTTTAGTAAGCCCCGAAATGCGTATGGCGGCAGATTTGGAGCTGAAGATGAAGGAGCTGTTATAAATGCAGTAAGTTTCTAAAAGAAATAATAAAATTTATATTTGCGATAAATTCGATCGAGAAATTTTGAAGCTTACGGAAAATCCCCAAGGTTCCACACGACAATTTGCTCTAGAATCCAGAAGATTCTCAAAAATCATAGGTATCATCCTAATAAATTACATGCCAGCCAAGAACTAAGACCAGGAGATAATGAAAAAAGGCTAGAATTCTGCAATTGGCTTGATAAAAAATTGCAACAGAATGAAGATTTTAAATAACATTATCTGGACTGATGAATACAATTTTTTTACGAGCGGCCTTTTCAACAGAAATAATGAGCATTGTTAGGCAGTGAAAAATCCGCACCAAAATCACCAAAGTGCGAAGGCAGGGACGGGCATCATTCAATGTCTGGGTGGGGCTGTATCGAAACAGAATCTTGGGGCCAATTATTTATTATGGGAATTTAAATAGTGATCGCTAACTTCATTCCATCCAAAATGTAGATGCTCTTGAAGACGAGCTGTTAAATATACTCCAGCAACTATAGTGGCAACAGGATGGCGCACCACCCCACAATGGAAGGGCCGTTACTCAGTATATAAATGAAACATTTCCCAATTAGTGGATTGGAAACCAGGGAGTGGTGCGCTGGCCTGCAAGAAGCCCCGATTTATCCCCGCTGAAATATTTTCCATGGGGATATTTGAAAAACCATTCAAATAAAGTTATTCCACGGGACCTGAATATTGTACGACAAAATTTAATGTTTGAAATAACAACCCTACGAGGTAGGGGAAGAAAATGCCAAGAGGGGCAAGGGGGACTATTCGAGCATTTACTTCAGAATTTCATTTTGTTCTTATCACAATTTAGTTAAATAGTTCACATATTTTCTACCCCTATTTATATTACTAATGAATAATAACTCGAATAATAATGTTTCAAAAATAGTTTCGGAATAAATATTTTGAAAAAATAGAGAAACTGAATTTCAGGCATTGAAACATTTGAAAATAGAAATTTGTGATAGGTAATAGTTTTTTGGCTATCTGAAGGTAACAAAAAAATTAATAAAAAATCCAGGTCCGTATTTAAAAAAAAAATAAGTTGATGATGGTTTCTGGAAGACGAAACGTTAGATTTCGAACTTGATAACGCCTTGTTGTAGGGAAGACGAAGTGGTCATGATAAAGTGTTATTCATATCGATTAATTCCTTCTGATAACGCAAGAAAACAATAAAAACGATTTTATGGAATTTCGATTTTTTTCTCTGAAAGTATCCGGAATTTTCCAAGTTTCAGAACACCTTATACCCGCACGCAATTCAGTTTGGAAAGTGTCGTTTTTCCGCAACATTGCGGGAAAATATTTTCCACACTTCGCGTCGATCGTGTCAACGGCAGTCGCGTGCGGGAAAGAATCACTTTTCGCACTCGTGAGGAAACCCATACTCTTTCGTGATAGTTATTCTCATGGAACCCTTAATATATGTGTTCGAATTTTTTCTATATATCTGAAGATTTGTCTAATATCGTCAGAGAAAACTCTTCTGATTCACCTTGTGGATTTGATTCCCATATTGATTTTTTATGTGTGAATCTACTGAAATTCTCACGTTTGTAAACTCGGAAGATGACATTATTCACATTCCCTCGGAAACTGGTAAGGAAAGGGGATACAGATTTTATTGCACATTCTGTAGGAAATATCGAAAGAGCTGAATGAGTTTAGTCCACGACTGATGAAAAGTTGACTTTGTTGGGACGTCTTTATGACTTTCAGTTAAATTCTGTCCAAGAAAGGGCAATTCGCGTCTCGTGGGTGATGCCTCGCTCACGATCTCACTCACTTCTCTGGAACACCGTAGAAAAGTTCGCGATCTGGCTCTTTTTTATAGATATTTCCATAGACGATGCTCTTATGAAATATCAACAATTTTTCTTCCCTTGGCAGTTCCCGCGAGATTAACCCGCCGAGTTGAAGTTTCGCACTCCTTCGTGATAAAACCCCCAGAATATTACAGGATATCTCTTTTCGTGGCAACCAGAACTTGAAAAAAAGTTATATACGTCAATATGACATCATGAAATAAGACGTCATTCTTAGGTCTCTCTGTAGTCGAGAACCTCATGGACCAATAATGACCAGATTGAGACGTCATTGTGACGTCATTCCACTAACCTGTGCTACCTGGGTAACCTTTGATTGACGATGAGTTACGGTAGGGCACGCTCATTGAGAAGGATAATGTTCTTCTAGTTCTTTGAGTTCCGTGATATACAATCGTGTTTGAATCATGTTTCTAGCTATATCATTGTACGAGAGCAATCGCACTTTCAACACTTTGACTGCCACACCAATTTCAAATATTTCAATGTGTGGGTCGCTCTCGCCATCTGACTTTCATTTCACAATGAGAAAGAAGAATATACCTTGAAAAATAATTCAACTCTGATTGAAATCCCAAGCTGAGATTATTTTGTCATCTCCCCAGGCCACGCCAAATCATATCATATGCACGTAAAGCTTACTACTTACTCTAGCATACACACGGCGAACAGAGAAACATTGATGATCGTATATGTATACTGGAATATACACGTGGCGACCTGGGCCAAGCCACTGTGTATACTCAAAGATACACATAGCAGTTAATGTGTTAAAATATCGAAAGATGATTCTGGATCACCATGCTATAGGCATTCTTACCGCATAAGAAATCGGTTTCAGGAAATTCAGTATTTTATGTTCCTCTGCTGCTTCATGATCATCAACTGCGTAAGAAAACGAATACAGCACATTCAGAATGCATATACATATCTCATAGAACACAATGCGACCAAAAATTGCATTGAATTTCTTCATTATACCGTGTACCATATTACACAAATCTTCTGTAGTTGTAACAATGAAGACTTCGTTCTGTACTTCATCCAGCGAACTCAGGTGTACATTGGTGTCATCTATTCTGTTTTTCAACCAGTTTGTGAAAGCCATGTACTGAGTGATAACGAAAATGAGAAAAATACCAGCAATTGCGTTGGTACTGTACAGCAGCATTCGCACATAGGAACCATATTTGAACCAGATGTAGTATCTTGCCATGAGGAGTGGGAATATGACGAAATTGATGATGACAATACGTGAGTACAGGCTATATTGCCTGCCTCGTGATGAACGGATCATCTTATTCTTGGCCATCTTTCTTTGCAATGAGCGGATTCTAATAAAGAGCTGTCTCCAGTTTTCACCGTTACAAAATGTCAGAGAAATGATACTGTAAGTGACAAAGAGGATCTCAGCTACCAACATAACAAACATAACTACTGCTATAGTGGTATGGTTATTCGCGACTA